TAACATATTTTTAATGAACAACAAAAACAAAGGAACAAATCAAAGACAATTGTAAAAACAATTCAAAATTATGAGTAAGAATATTTTATTCTGATCCCAGCGCTTCCATTTAACCCTGTACCAGTATCTGCACTTTGGTTTACCTGCACACTTTCCCTATGTCTTTATAAAGCTCTGGTTTAAAGAGACGATTAACAAGTTTTGTAAACCATGCGCTATTGCTACTATATTTTATTTCTCAAAAAGGTAAAAGCACACATATCCCCTGTATTAGTTTCCTATTGCTGCTATAACAAATTACCACATATTTACTGGTTTAAAACACAAACTTATTATCTTACAGTCCTGGAGAGTGTGCGGGGGTGTGTGTGTGTGTGTTTGTCAATCAAGCATTTGATTCAATCAGAGAGGAGGTTCTATTTCACGTGTGAGCTGCGATTATCTGGGGAGGTTTCATAGACAAGATAAGTCATGAAAGACCAGGGGTAGGGCCTGGACAGACCAGAGGGTTTCAGAGGAGAATCCAAACAGGAGATGCAGCAGGGACAAAAGTGATGGGCATGGGAAAGACCCTGCCATGTTTGCAGGGAGGGGACCACTGGAGAAAACAGGTTGTGTGGAAGTCCAGGCTTGATGGTGGGGATGCTCAGGCCCTTCCACCACTGACGGGTACAAAAGGGGTCTGACTGACACGATTCATAGTTTCTTGCTCTATCCAAACAGCAGGATGAGGCAAGAGACCCTCTCTTTGCACCACATACAGAACACTATTCTTTTGAGGACCTTAAAGCATAATGTCAATATCCAAGATGTTGTGCAAAATAGAGCCAGAAAAATATCCACAAAGGACACGTGGGGGAAGTGTCACAGTGAGGGCTCTCTCCTGTCAACTTGAGGACTACTACTCCTAGGACCACCACTGCTGCAGCTCAGCGGCCCACGGAGCCTCAAGCCCAGAAGGCAGGCAAGGAGCAGTCACCTATCTCCCTGGCTGAGAGGAAGGCAGCACGGGATCTGGGGGAAAGTAGCTATAAGGTAATAATGGAAACCAGCTCTCCAACCATCTAGGTCTAACTCCTAGGATGGCACTTCCTCTAACCCCCAAAAGATGAAACATCCCAGAAGTCTAAGAATAATTTTCATAATTGTACAAACATTTCTAAAAGAAAATATCAATAATCTGAATCAAGTTAACCATGTTTTCATGCATTCAGTACAGTTAACCTAACAAAAAGGTTTTTTATTTGATAACGAATAACTGGCTTGGGTTACAAAGTTAAGCGAATAATGACATCAAAGATCATCAAATTAACTGTTAGCTATGCATGGGCTCATTAATAAGCTGCCTTAATCAGTTCAAAGTAATGACTTCTTTCTTGAGCAGAAAAGAGCAAAACCCAGTTTTTGATCTTTCCTTAGAATCAAAACTCAGGCTACGGAAATGGAGATTTGCAAGAGATGAGATTTAGGATGGTGTTAAAATTTTAGCCTCTACATACTTTTTTCTACCTTTCTGTATGTGAGATGAAAGCTGCTCCTACAAATATTAATAAAATTATCATAAATTAATTTAAATGAGGAAAATTAAATTAAGTGAAATTACTGTTAAGATACTGTCAATATATAACTTAAGATACTATAAGAAAATTACAACATATTTTATGTATAATATAATATGAAAATATTATATAAACAATTCTATAGTATCAGGAGTTAAATATCCATTAAAAATGACAAACACCCTTAGTTTAAGGCATCTTCCAGTTTACTTTTTTAAAAAAAAAATTTTTATTAAGGTGAGATGCACATAATTATAAAATTAACCATTTTAAAGTAAACAATTCAGCGGCATTTAGCACATTCATAATGTTGTATAATCACTACCTCTATGTAATTCCAAAAGATTTTCATCACCTCAAAAGGAAATCCCATACCCAATAAGCAGTTGCTCCCCATTTCCCTCTCCCTCTTAACCACCAGTCTGCATCTGTCTCTAAGGATTTACCTATTTTGGATATTTCACATAAATGGACTCATATACAGTCACGCACGCGCCACATAATGACATTTTGGTCAACGATGGACTGCATAAAGGATGGTGGTCCCATTAGATTAGTACCACATAGCCTAGGTGTGTAGTAGGCTATACCATCCAGGTTTGTGTAAGTACACCACACAAGGATAAAATCGCATCATGACCCATTTCTCAGAAAGTGCCCCCGTTGTGATACGATGCGTGACTGTAATATACTACCTTTTGTGTCTGGCTTCTTTCACTTAGCATAACGTTTTTGAGGATCATCCACGCTGCAGCACATATCAGTGCTTCATCCCTTTTTATGAATAATATTCCACATATGTATATAACACAATTTATGTATCCATTCATCCACTGATGGACTTTTGGGCTGTTTCCACCTTTTGGCTATTGGAAATAGTACTGCTATGAACATTTGTGTACAAGTCTTTGTACGAACATCTGTTTTTAATTCTTTTGGGTATATAACTAGGAGTATTTACTGGGTCATATGGTAATTCTATGTTTCACTTGTTTAGGAACTGTCAAACTGTTTTCCAAAGGGACTGCACCATTTTACATTCTCACCAGCAATGTACCAGGGTTCTAATTTCTCCACATCTTCCCCAACATTTATTATTTTCTATTTTGTTGATTACGGTCATTTTAGTGGGTGTGAAGTGGTGTCTCATTGCGGTTTTGATTTGCATTTCCCAAATGACTAACAATGAGCAACTTTTCATGTGCTTATTGGCCACTTGCAGAGTGACATTGGGAGAAATGTCTTTTCAAGTTGTTTTTTTAAAATTGGGTTGTCTTTTTGATGTTGAGTTCTAAGAGTTCTTCACATATTCTGGATACCAGACACTTATCAGATATATGATTTGCAAATACAGTCCCATTTTGGGGGTTGTCTTTTTACTCTCTTGATAGTGTCCTTTGACGCAAAAAAGTTCTTAATTTTGATGAAGCACAATTTTTTCTTTTGTTGCTCATGCTCTTGGTATCATTTCTAAGAATCCAAAGTCATGAAGCTTTCCCCCTATGTTTTCTTCTAAGAGTTTTATGGTTTTAGCTCTTATATTTAGGTCATTGACCCATTTTGAATTAATTTTTTATATGATGTGAGATAGTAGTCCAACTTCATTCTTTTGCATGTGGATATCCAGTTGTTCCAGCATCATTTGTTGAAGACTATTCTTTCCCCACTGAATGATCTTGGCACTCTTTTCAAAAACCAACTGAGTACAGATGAATGGGTTTATTTCTAGACTCTGTTTTTAAAATTTTTAAAAAATTCAGAACTTTCCATTTATAATTTTACCACTACTTTTACCAGAGGTAGTTTAGCTTATAATGGCATATTAGGAACTTTTATTTCAAAACTAGAATTTTTAAATGAAACACACACATCCATAACGAATAATTTCATTATTACACGTTTCTTTAAAAAATAAAGATGAGAGGTAGCATATGCAAACTGGAAATCAAAATCAATCTCTGCAAAATAGTATTTTATGAAGCAGCATGTGATTTCATTGTTAATTAACATGTTGTAATGAAGTCATTCAGTTTAACTGCCTACCCTAAAGCCTTCCATTTTACAATTAATTATGAACTTCTGGTCAGCCTCTTAATGTGGTTATTACATCAAATGTCCTTGATATCAGTCTTGCTGAATTACCTGTGTCAAATTCCCATCCAATTCCAAATAAGATATGGATTATAAATCAAAAGAATGTTTTATTGTCTAGAACGTTTTATTAACATCAAAGTTTCCTAATTTTGAACAACATCCACTGACTTTAAAGCTTCTCATGGCACACTGGATTTAAGTACCAATAGAATATGTTATTGTTTGGAGAGAAAGAGCACCACTGTTTTAGTCACAAGTTGGGCATTCCTTCTAAACAGCCCCTTCTCCCTCATTAGCTTTTCTGGGAAGCTCTGTACTACATCTCCTCTGAGCTCCCAGGGCCTCCAACCACCTAAGCTGACGAAAACAACTGACTTCTCTGATCACATGTCTCTACAACAGAGGATCAGTTACAAACCACTGGTGAGGATTCTCTATACTCAACATCTCTAAAGAAAACATAAGCTCCCCAACCAGAACTCCAAAAGAGTTCTCTTTTATCTTGACTCCCCTCTGCCTACAAGCTGTAAACACTGGATGTTTAGCTTCATCACAGTTCTTTTAGATGCAAAGGTAATCTTGTTTTCATTGACCAAAAAAAGAAAAAAAATTTGCCCAGAAAAATAAGGGATAAAAAGTTCGGGAAGTGCTGATAACTGTAGTCTAGAAAACATGTGAAAAACTTTACCTTTAGCTGGCCAGTGATGTCGCGGCAGCTGACTGTCTTACCATGCAAGAGACTAAGGTTCAGGGTCAGACCAACGGTTCTGACGTCCTGGGCTGGACACATAGTTGAAGTGAGACACCAAGGAAGAGACGGCCAGCCCAACCCCTCACACAGCATCCCTTCCTGGTTAATCCATGGGGTGATAATGACACTGACTGGCCTCATCCTGCCAATGAAGGGCAAGGCACTGCAATGACGGCGCCTAGAAATGAACAGGAGTGATTGGGAATAAAGGGGGAGGGGGAAAGGTGGCCAGGATGAAGAAATGAATAAAACTCCAAATTTCTGTTAAAACTCACTGTCATAGCTATTATTCTAATATCATAATGACAGGGGGAATGGAAAAGAAAAAAAAAAAGAAAAATAAAACAAAACAAAAAAAGAAAAAGAAAAATTGCTACCTATTTAAATTTATGCAGCATTCTAAGAATTTGGGTTTGTATCCTACAATCTGACTACATATAACTAGAGCAAGAGGTTGGTTCAATTTAGCTCACAAACCTATAGCAAAGAAAAGAGTATTTCTATCATCAGTCTTTCTAAATTCTGATGATTTGGTTTTATTTCGTTTTTATTATAAAAACAACTCAATCCACACTATTGAAACAGACCATACTTACCAAACAATTCCTTGGGCTCCAGAGCCAATCGGTTTCAACTGGTGGTAACGTTTTAGGACAGTGAAAGTTGAGTCTGCCACTTGCACACTGTAAAACTGACTATCACATTTACTGTCACTCATGATGTAGTGTCATATAATATTCCGAAGAGCTGGTACAGTTGTCAGAACCCTTAAGAGAAAAACAGAATGAACATGCATTCTTACTGAAATTATACATGCATAGCTTGCTTAATAGTGTTTCAAATCTATTGGTATATAAGACGATGTGGCTGTAAGTTGATAAACTCAGTCTGACCAAGTTCTAAACTTAAGCAACATGCAAAAAATGCAAACACATTTCAGGGGTAGAAGACCATTATGAAAGGAAGGAAATTTGAGGTCCCACATGACCACATTTTAAGGAATTGGATTAGAAAATAACAAACTTCGGAGAAAAGAATTTGCACATTTTATTAGCCATGACAAGACTACGTCACTCTATGATTCTCATCAGCCTGCTTCCTGTGGGACCAGCTTATGCTAAATTATCTCAACCAGAGTGGGAGGTGCTCTTTCAGAATGATTACATCTATGATTCCTGCAGGAAAACAAATGGATCCATCTTCTGCTAAGTCCACAAATTCTGGTTAAAGTGATGAAGCAGAAAGCAAGTCCTATGCCAAAGAGATGTAACAGGGGAAGCAGACAACAGGCTGTTGGCAGCCTGGTGCCACAGGCGTGTGCTGTGCATGCCCATGGGCACGCTCCTGCCTCGTGAAGTGGTCTTGGAGCCTGCCTGTATTCCCCATACCTCACATCACTAATGGGCTTCAATCCAGACATGGTAGACAGAGAACTCTGTCATAACCTACAGTCAATAGCATGGATGCTACGACGTTCTTCATGAGGTCTGAGTATAAACTGGCAGCCTCAGAGCGGCTGTTCCATGGTTTAGACAGGAGGCTGAGATGCCCACTCTGCAGGAGCGTGCATGATTTTATACAGAAAACAAGCAAACAGAAATTGGCAGGCAGCTACATATACTTGGTTCCTTGGCTCTTGCCTGACAACGTTTATTGAAAAGTCGGCAAGCTATTTATTTTGGTCTTTTTCCAAAAATTAAAAAGCCAGGGCCAGCCCTGGTGGCCTGGTGGTTAAGTTTGGCGTGCTCCACTTCGGCAGCCCAGGTGTGGTCCCCAGGTGTGGACCTACATCACTCATCTGTCAGTGGCCATGCTCTGGCGGTGGCTCACATACAAAAAGAGGAAGACTGGCAACAGATCTTAGCTCACGGCTAATCCTCCTCAGCAAAAAAAAAAAGAAAAAAGAAAAGCCAACAAAATCATATTAGATGAACATTCTATACTGTTTAAAAACACAGAATTTAAATTTTATTCTACAGCTCCAGCAAATTCCTACCTGTTTGTTCCACCATCTAATATTTAGTGTCTACCCATGAGTTTTTTGGAGTGATGATCTGTATTTCAATACAATGATGTCTAGGTTTTCATTAAACATGAAAAGAAATTGATTAATAACAAGCCTAAACAAAGAATTTAAATCAAATGAATAGTTTCTCCAACTGACTATTGCTTCATGCTTTTTTACTGTTCTCAGGGCAGTGGCTGAGGCACAGCTCTTAGTACCACCAGCCATTGGGACTGAGAGCCCTTGCACACCTGCCAGGGAGTGCCTCCGGGAGGCCAGCCCTGCACTAGATGAACTAACACACTGTTCATGACGACTTGCACAGCAGGGTTATCAGATCCCTGTTATGCTGGAGTGACCCAAGGCTTAATGACTGGCCAAGCCACGCTGCTGTGAGGAGGGGACCCTAAGCTCCACGAGGGCAGGGACAGGTCTGCCTTCTCACCATGGCATCCCACACTCCCAGGACAGGAGGACAGGGAAGGCCTGGGCCCTGGCACAACGTGAGCATTCAATAAACCTTTGCTGATCTGACCCTTAATACAGCATCTCATGATTCCCTCACACTCCTGCTCCATTTTACTGACATCTGAAGGAATATCCTTTTCTAAAGATTAATTTATTTATAGTTTTTAAGAGGCTGAGACAATTCAACTCAACACTTATGGGGTTCTTTGTACAAGAAAGTGATATGTAATGTAGGAGACACAGCAATATCAGCTAGGAACCATCCTTGAAGCAGTATATAATTCACTATTTTGGGAGAGAAGTGTGAGGAATGAGTCCGTTATCTATATCGTAATACAAGTTACAATGAGGTAAGGGCCATAAGCAAAACATAACACAGTCAAAAGGCAAAAGAGTTCCTTGTGTAGGAGTGCAGAAGACAAGGCGAGCTTCATGGAGGAGATGCCATCTGTCCTGGACTGTTTTGCCAGAGACAGACAGTAGAGGCACAGAGGCACAGAGCTCTGACTGACTGCTCAGACTCGGTGAATCGCTCAGCCTGGCTAGTGGGGTGCAAGCACAGATGATTAGACACAGACTCGGTGAAAAGGCAGGTAGCCACTACAACCTGCTGTTTCTTTGCCATATTGTAATACACCAGCGGTGCTGGTCATTGATAAAGCATTTCCTGAGCACCACTGTGGACGGGGACCTGTGCCAGAACAGCCCGAGTGCCCGTCCCTGGAGAGCTTACAGAGAGCGCACACTGCAGGCACACTCAGAAAGGGGCCAGATGCAAGGAGAGCCCTAAAGCCAGAAGGATGGAGTTCTGGGCATGTGGGGAAGAGAAGGAGCATGTAGAAAGAGCTGGAGGTGCCTTTTAAGCATGCCAAGTCATCTGAGATTTAGTTTTGCTGGGTAGCAGGGGAGAGAAGCTGGAGAGAGAAAACAAGGCCAGATCTCCACGGGCCGCGGCAGCCTCTTGGAGCCATCTGGGCCTGGGCCTGAGGGCTGTGGAGCCATCCAAGTGCGAGAGGCATGTGCTCAGACTTGCTCTTCAAAGAGGTCATTCGGGAAGATGAGAAAGGGATGCATCCGAGTGGGCAGGACTGGCCTGAAGACAGGGAGACCTGCCAAAAATACCAGGATTATGGCAGGGGGGGGAAAAGAAGGAAATGCAGGGCTTGGATGAAGAATGCCCATGACTTGCTGACCCAGAGGAGGCAGGAGAAACGAGGGCGAAGCAGCTGGGGGTGAGCAGGAGCACGCTCAGTGGGCGAATTCAGCTTTGCGCAGGGAAGGGATGCGCAGCAAGGTAGGCACAGGCTGCTGACGCACACACTCCGGGACCGGCTCTGCCCTTCTGTGCTTTAGGAACAGAAGCCTCCTCATTTCAGCTGGGCAAGTGGTTGCCCAGCTAAAGACAACATCTGGCTGCTTTCCTGGCAGCCAGGTGTAGCCAGATGATCAACTTTTGGCTAATGAGATATGAACAAAAGTGATGTATGCTACTTCCAGATTTTTTTTTTTTTTTTTTTTTACAGGAAGCTGCTTGCCGTCCACTCCATCTTTCTCCCTTACTGCTGGCTGGGATCAGCCATCGTAGACCTGGAACTGGAAGTCACATGCTGAAGAAGGTAGAGCTGCCCACCAGCCAGATTCCTGACTTACCTGTGGCACCAAGCCGCCCCCTATTCTGGACCACCCGCCCAAGCTGGGGCTGGCACAAATTAATCCAAACCTTGTTGAGCACTCTGGAACTCTCCGCTACAACCGTTGTAACCTATACTCTACTGGTACAATATTAGCTTAGCTTTAGTGAATTTTGGGAGTACATTACATCATTGGGTTCAAAAATTATTAATATAATTTCAAGATTTAACATAATTTTAAAATTGAGATGAGTTGCTCTTATTACGCAGAAAAAAAATCATGTGAGGGGCCGGCCCAGTGGCGCAGTGGTTAAGAGCGCACACTCCGCTTCGGCAACCCGGGGTTCACAGGTTCGGTCCCCGGCGCGCACTGACGCACTGCTTGTCAAGCCATGCTGTGGCGGCGTCCCATATAAAGTGGAGGAAGATGGACACAGATGTTAGCCCTGGGCCAATCTTCCTCAGCAAAAAGAGGGTTATTGGCATCGGATGTTAGCTCACAGCTGATCTTCCTCACACACACACAAAAAAATCACCTGAAAGAGAACTTGTCAAAGACACCTTCTCTGGCAAGCTTGTGCTTCATGAGAGCAAGAGAAAGAACCTCAAGGCAACCCAAGAAAGCAGGTAATTTAGCTATTAATGAAACCAACTCTGTTGAGGTTATATTTCAACAAAATGGTCCTCAACTGGGTTTCAGAAAACAGTTTACAAATGGGGAAGTATAAGCGTTCTTCATTCAACCACATTACAGCACACTGAAGGTGCAGTCACTGCCTCCACTCCCCTCACTAGCAGCTGCTGGTTTCTCACCCTGGCTCCCAGCAGTGGGACCCAGTGCCCGCCCACGTGGCTTCTGCACTGTGCTGCCCAGTGGGTGCTGCACTGTCACCCGGCTTCTGCAGGTCTGTCTCTGCCTCCCTTCCCCAGGCTGGGAGTTCCTCAAAAGCAGGGCGGGCCTGTCTTCCCCTCACACAGCACTGCTAGAAAACTTAAGGAAATGTCCAGCGCCCACCAATGATCACTGAAAAAGCTCCTAGGGGCACACACTTTGCTCCCTGGGCTCTTCAGAGCTGTGTGGAGTGAGGCGACGCCTCCGGGGAAGGGATCAGCAAAGCCTTTGCTAAAGGCATTCGGCTCACGTCCCTGTCCTTCCCACTTACCACGCTGCTTCGACGAACGCTTGTTGAATGAAAACTCTAATCTAAAATCTCTATTTCTCCAAGACTGGAGACTCTTGTAGAATCTCCTCCAGGATACTGGAGTAAAATGTACCCACTCTACAAATAAACACTGGGCAGGAGGAACATGCCTACCTGTTTAGAGCCTAGAGTAACAAAAGCTTTTTAAAAAAAATTTCTCTTACCTCTAGCACTCTTCTAAATATAGGCAATTCAGATACTGTAAACATAGTATTAAATCTAATTAATTTTTCTAAATCAAAAAAATAGCTCTAACTACAGTTTTACAGTTATCAAATTTTAAAGTGGGAAAGAACAGTGGAGAGCACACAGTCCAAGACCTGGGACACCAGCTACCATTCACTGAATTCTCCCAACAAACATTTCCTGATGGCCTCCTGTGTGCCAAGCATGAGGTAGGTAGGGGTTGTGGACAGAACGCTAACCACACAGTCCCTTCCCTCAAACCGCCAACAGCATAATTATTACACCACGCAGGAAG